CGCAGCGGGCCCTGGAGCGAGCAGGGGGACGCGGGCCTGGCCCCGGCCTGCCCTCCTTTCCCCCTGTGCGTCTCCGGCCTGGGGTTGGGTAGGTCAGCCCCGAACACGCGCGGGCAGGAGCGGCAAGTTCAGCTGGGCTAAGTGTGAACTTCCTTGAAGAAACAACCACCAGCTTTAAACAAAAACAAAAAAATGACCAAAAAACACACCCCCCTGGCTCCCTGCACACTCAAAATTCAGAAACCAGCCACCCCTGAGGGTGAAATTCGGGCTTCGTTTCTGGTGGTGCAGCCTTGTCTTCAGGAGCTCGGGGCGCTGGAGACGGTGCTGCAGCGAGCCCAGCCCCACCGCGTTGTGGTGCTGGAACCCAAATCACCTCCTTTCTTGAGCCTTTCCTAACGGGAAACTCCTGGATGAGGAGCTGCAGAGTGTTACATCAACAGCTGTGCTCTTCTGGGTGTCTCTTCCACAAATCTTAACCTGTAAGCCCCCAGGATCTCAACCTTTGATGTGAGCCTGTAATGCCCTCCTGCGGTGCGCGGGTCGCTGTGAGCTGCAGCCGGGTTGGTGTCGCAGCCCTGCCAGGGCTGCACGGTGCTCGGGGTGCAGCTTCCAAGAGGTGCTCAGGGTTGCGTGTGGTTCCCAAAATTCCACCAAAATTCCAGCCTCTCGTCTCACCGCAGCCTTCCTGAGCCTCTTGGGGAGGGGTTCCAGGAGGGGAGCGCTGGACCGTGGCTCTCCAGGAGATGTCCGTCCTGCCCCCGCTCGCTCGTGTGGGCCCCGTGGGCTGTATCCCGCGCTGTTTCGGGGGGTTCGGGTCTCCCGGAGGCGCCGCTGCAGCTCTGCCGCTGTCATTGCAGGCGTTGGAGTACCCGGGCTGGGCAGACATGTTCTTCGTGCTGCAGTTCACGCTCTCCTGCATCATGGGGTAAGGGCTCCTCGCGTTCCCCCCGGGTGTTTTCCCTGCCTCTCCCCATGGCACCATGGCACCATGGCACCAGCACAGCATCCCCGTTTGCCCACCTGCTTGTCCAAAAAGCTTGACTAAGAGCACTACTGAGGTGGGTTTTGGTGCCAGCAAGGTGCAGAGAAATTTCTTGCTGCAAAGAAATATCTCCCTTGGGGCTAAGGCCCAGCCCGGAGCGCAGCTCATGCCGGGGGGGCCTGCAGCAGTGACGGCCGCTGGGGTCACAGAGCCAGGCAGGGACCTGGGGAGCAGCAGCATCTCAGCGCGCTCTGCTCCTCCAGGACAAGAGGGTCTTTGGTCCCAATAGGGAGAACATTTCTGAAAGCTGCTTCAGGTGGGATTTACTTCCAGCCCCGCCTCAGTGCCAATCTTGTGGTGATGCAAAAACTGCTCTGGAAGAGTGAGAGATTAAACGCTGAATTGTGGCCTGACGGGCTTGCCTTCCTCCCGCAGGTTTATCTTGATGTACTCCACAGTCCTGTGCACTCAGTATAACTCCGCGCTGACAACTACAATAGTTGGCTGCATTAAGGTAAGGGGCGGTCGCTGCGGGGCGAGTGCTGCAGTAATTCCTGGTGCCTCTTATTAAACAGCTGCTTTGGCCCTTGGAGCGAGAGCAGGTGGGGGACGTGCACGGCAGCATCGCTCCTGCGCGTGCAGAGGCCGAGCAAGCTCATCACATAGACAGAGCTGCCAGGCCTGGGACCATTTTCCTGCTTTTCGAGGAGGCTCTGGCCCCTCTTTGGGGGAGTTAGTGCAGAAAATGGGTGAACTGTACCTAAAAATGCTCTTGTACCTAAACTCTTGTTCCTTTTCAGAATATTTTAATAACCTATATTGGGATGTTTTTTGGAGGAGACTATATTTTTACATGGACAAACTTCATTGGTCTGAATATCAGGTAAGAATTCCAAGTGTTTGCAGTTATTCTTTGTAATTCACATGTGAAAGTTGCTGTGAGACTGAGACAATTTGGGTGGTTAAACACTCCTTGTAGAAAAAATAAATTAGATTTTTCTGAGCTTTCAGTGCTGGGGACAGCACTGCCCTGCATGTCCCAAAAGCCTGTGGGGAAGAGAGTGCTGCTTTTACCTCTGCTTGCAGCTAAAAGTTGCTATTATTGGTAACTTCATTATTATCATTATTTCCACACAGTTTTTAGCAGTGGCTCCTTTCTGTATCGGCAGGTATTTCAGTTTGGAAATGTTTCCTTTTTCTGCCCGTGGCAGGATTACGTTAGTGATGGAGCACATCCAGTAGCCTAACGGGCATGCGGAATGTGAAGCATTTGGGTGCGAATTGGACTGAATACATAGTTTAGGAGGAAAACGTAGAAGAAAAACTTTGTAGCCCATGGAAGCTTGCAGCCAACCCTGAGCCGGTCCCATGTTTTGGATGTTTCTTTGGAAACCAATGTTTTGCGACTGGCCATTAATATATAGGGGCTGCCGGGTCTATAGAGGGGGTGTGGGAGCCTGCAGGGCAGGACCTTGCTCAGACCTGTCTCTCCTGCAGCTCTTCGGGGTAGGTTGGCTGTAATTAAATGATGGAGTTCAGCTTGTGAGCGTATCGGGATGTGTAAATGCTGTTTTTTTTTCACTAACAGCTGGTGATTATTTGATAAATATGACATTTGTGGGCGTCCGTTCATTGTTTCCTTGTGTTTTGCAGTATTGCTGGAAGCCTCGTGTATTCCTATATCACTTTCACAGAAGAGCAGATGAACAAGCCCTCCGAAGCCGTCAGCAAGATGGACATTAAAGGGAAAAGCTCTGTGTGACCAGGGTGCAGATTCTGGGGGAAAGCAAAAGAAATCGGGGTGTCCACAGAGGACTCATGGCGGTGCCCTTAATTTTCACAGTCTAGATTGCTGCCTTGAGAAATGATTGGGAAGCTGCATTTCAGAACGCATCGAATCGAGTCGGATCACGAGGCTAATCCTGGGGGTTGATTACGCTGAAATTGGGCTGTAGGGACTGGCGGAGGTGCCGTCGGGGCGGCGGAGGAGCAGCCGCGTCCTGTGGACGGAGACGGGGCCGAGGGCCTGCGCGGGAGCAGCGCCCCGGGTGTCCCGCGCTGCCTCCGGGCACAGCCCGGCGCTGGTCGCGAGGAGGCCCCGTGCAGCAGCACTCGGGTCTAGGGCTCTCCCTTGGCTCGCCTTTTGGCTTGGAAAAAAAAAAAATATTAATAATTTTGGCAAACGCTTTTTAATTTTTTTTGGTAAAACTATGTAGTTGCATTTATTTTTTCTTTTAGTCACTAGGAAAAAGGCATCCCCGGACGTTCCAGTTTGCTTCCGGGAGGTATTCGCGGAGCAGCGAGCGGGGCCTTTAGACAAGCTCCGTTTTCGGAGCGCTCTGCGTCCCCCGCCGCTTTCCCCGCCTGCAGCAGGACAGGGCGCCCCGGCTGCCCGGGGCCCCTTTTCCCGGTGTCCCTTCCCTTCCCGTTGGGCCAGGCCGCGGTAACCCCGGCTCTGCGCGGGATTTTCCTCGCGTCGCTCTGCCGAGGCAGTTGCAGAGGGGCTGCGGTTGTGGCGAGAGCTTCGGGTTTTTATTGGAAATCTACTGGTTAGATTTATTGTCCAAACGGCAGAAATATTTTTTAAAGCTTATTCTGTTTGTAAACGTGCCCCCTTCAGTGCCATGGGCGGTCGCGGCCGCCCTGGGAGAGCACCCGCAGTTCGTAGAGCAGTATTTTCTATGCTATTAATCTACTTAATTTTTTTTCTATATAGAATCTATTTACAGAATTCTCATTTTAGTGATTAAAAGGGTGACCTTTTTATTTGAATGTATGGCAGGCCTTCCCTGGGAGTCACTAACGATGGCAGAAAGGATGTTCTGTGCCTATGTATTTTTGTACTGGCTTCGAATAAACTGGTGCCCGTTTGGCTGCGTGGGCTGCGTTGTGTTGTGGGGGGAACAGCCTCGGGCAGCCCCAGCTGCATCGACCCGGCACAGGGGGAGCAGGAAAATTGGTCCCCATCCCTCCTCCTCCTCAAGCCTCAATCCTTGGTGGATTCTTTAAATGTATACGGGGGAAAGAAGAAAAATCCCCCAAAACCTCCTTGCAAAACTTTGCATTTGCCTCACAGCACTGAGGGAAGCAGTTCAAAGAACTGTCAGACTGAGTTTGATCATGAAAGCAAGAGAGGTGTTTTTTTTTTTCTTAAGTAAGTTAATCAAAGCAGTAACAGTTACTAGCGAAGAATCAGGAGAGACCTTCCTTCACATCCTGTATAAGCAGAAATACTGCACCCCTTGTAATAAAGAAACAACTCAGGCATTTTTTTATGCAGACAGTATGTTTAAAAAAATATTTTAATAAGCATTTTCAGAATTGCAGACAGGGAACAAGGGGTAAGAGAAGGGAATTACTAACAGTGCAAAATTACTATGCGTGGAAAAAATGTATAAAAACTATTCTGTCTTTTTTTAATATCGCTTTAAATCCTTTATAAAGCCCAACGCTGCTTTTCCTGTTGAACTGTTTTCAATTCCGGCTGCACTCTTGAAGCACTCCATGAAAACAGGACACCCGCTCCAGCTGGACGCATCTCGATGCTACTTGAAAAATGTCCTCGTTCCATGCAAGCTGCTGGCTTTGCAGTGCAGCTGGGGAGCCAGTTCAGCACTCCTGGCCTCCGCGCTGCACCCCATGCTTTTTAAAACAAAATCAAAGTTAATATAGTTCTAGATTTTTAAATAGTTCTAGTAGTGCAATGACTTATCAAGTTAGAGTGGCTGTATTTTGAAGAACATGAACCAAGTATTGTATAAAACAACCTGCATAAACAAAAGGTAAATTATAATTAAATATTCTTAAAAGTCTAGCTGAGCATTACATATTGGCTGATTATGGAATGTCAGGTCTCTTCTAGGTATCACCAAAAAATAAGGTAAGATTAAAACAAAGCAACATTCCCAAAAATATACAGTGCTGTATTTTACACACAAGCCTGAGACAGTTCACTTACAAATGTTCCTATATTTTTTTTCTGAAGTATCTCCAACTTGCAAACAAAAAATGCATAAAATAAAAGCGAGAAGGGGGCTGCAGGGGCTGCTGGAAGGGCTGCACCTCCTCCTCCCAGTGCGCTGCAGCCCCTCTGCTACGCGGCTGGGATCCTTTGGGTATTAAAAACCAGATTTAGTGTGTCCTGGTGACCTCTTCCTAGAGCAATCGCTCAACAAGAGCAGCGCGGGCCACGGCCACCACGTCCTGCTTGTCCCCTGTCCCCTGCCCACATCACCTGGACCCACGTCCGGGCCGTTTCTGGGAACTCCAAGCGCTCCGATAACCTCGCACCGACGGAGCGGGACCGGAGCTGCAGAATTTGGCTCACTAGTGCCTGCAGAGTCCGAGTATGGGGAGTCAGAAAAGCCAAAGGAAAAAAAATCCCTTAGCATTGTCTTCTGTCAAGGTGACAATTAGTTTCAAACCATATAGCTATACAATTTAAATCAGAATCCTGAAGACTCCTATAAAGTTTAAGATCGTTTGAGTAAAAATAACCAATTAAAAATTAACTGCACACTTAAAAGCCACAGTGGGAGAAGGTAAGTTTATAAGTTATACAGATAGAGCATTTTTTCCCTGTTTTAATATAGAAGCATAAGTAGCTGTGGCTTATAGAACAAACAAGTTAAAACACATTGGGATTAAAATCTTTGTGCTTCATGGATGCAGCCCCTGCTCCAAGAGCTTTTGAATTTGGGTGGTGGGGAGGCACATGAGCACAAACCCACGTTCCCCCATTCACAAATAATTTAATTTCTAGGACTTTATCTTAAAATGGTTACCCATAACCACTCCCACCTCTTACGTGCACGCACATATACTGAATGTGCATGCGCACACGTGCACATAAGTAGATGTATATAGTATCTGTGCGTGTCTATAGGGGTATTGCATGTGGTACCAAGTATTTCCATGCGCTGTTTCTGCTCCTACTGAAATTCCCATCCAGGCAGGGTCCGTTAGTTTCCAGAAATGCAGGATCCAGGTGAGCAGCTGCACATCCCTTCCCGAGCGGCACAGCCAGGATCGCCATCCCCTTCCTGTGCTCAGTGAAATGCACTGGATGGCCTGATAATAAACCAATGAATAATCTAATATCTGATCTTGGTGAGCAGATTTAGGAAATTTAAACATTTGGCTGACATGAAATTTATCCGAGCTCCGAAATAAAATGAGAAAATGCATAACAAAAGCAAGAAAACTTGTGCAATGCAAAGCATCATGCTTAACAAATCCTAAGCATCACTATTTGCCATAAAACAGAAATATGAACTCAAATTTTCACAATATTATGACTTCTAACCATTTTTCATGTTAATGGTTTACTCTTCTGAGGAAAAACCAGCATGGTGGTGAATAATAAACATTTTTTAAAATTGGATCGGTTTGGTTTGGGTTTCTTTTTTTTTTTTTTTTTTAGAAAAGACTTTAGCAAAATAAAATGAAGCTGACATTAGACTCAGGATATCAATTCTCTCATAAAAGTTTACCAACTGTACAAGTTAAGAAAATTATACAAGCTTTTGTTTTAAGAAAGGACAGTTCAATCAAGACATAAGTACTGTAAAAATCTTTCAAAGGCTACAAAGAAATCTGGAAAAATACAGAATGTATTTCTTTAGCCCAGATAAGAATATGGAAAGACATCATTGATGTCAACAATTTTACATATACAAACCTGACTTGGTTTATTTATTTACGTTTTAAAACTTCTATATATAAAAATAGTTGTGCTCGTAACTTTCAGGATTCATAAGGGTTCCTTAGCAACGGGATATCACTTTTCCAATTAAAATGAATAAAAGCCTTTATGCCTACTCGGATGTACATTTTGGAATTCTGTATTTCATAAATACAGAATAAATTGCAATTTGAACCAGCTCACTGATTCAGAGAGAATGCTTTGTTCATCTGTACAATATGTAAATATTGTATATATAAACCGAAGTTTCTTTAATGTATTAGGTTGATTTGTTTCTCAAATATGTTGAAGAGCCTTAAGGTTCTCACAACTACAGTTAAGAGCTCTGAGAAACAGAATATTTGTTTTTTGGTGCTGAAAAACAGTAGGAAAATAATCAAATCTTAAGAGCCAACTAAAAGATATTAGAAAAATCTCAACAGATTGTTTCATGGAACTGAATTTTGTAAGGTAACCCATCAACCCTGAAAATTTTAGACACCCAGAATTTACTCCAAGGAATAAAATCAGCTCCTATTATTCAGTCATCCAAAGTTTCTAGTTCTTCAAGCTTTCCATGCGAGTTCGCTTCTTGGAAGAACTCTGAAGACCCAGGACTCTCTTTTCCATTGCTGTTAATTCTTCTTCTTTTTAGAGGTCTTTCATTTTTTTCTTCAAAATCATTTTCGTTTCTTGAAGTTGAATGAGCAATTTTAGGGTCAGCAGAAAGGTTTTCTGTTTCATACCCATTTGTATCCTGATCCGTGAGAGGTGTTTTCTTACCACTGGAAGGTCCATTTACATGCAGTCCTTCAGATTTTGCTTCATCTTTATTGGCTACCTCACCCGGCCCATTAGTGGACACCCCTGCATTACAGAAACACACAGTTAGAACAAAACCTTAAGCAACAGCAGAACCATAATAAGCAATTGGCAGTACAGCAGTGAAACAGAGGTTTAACTAGTCTTGTTGAACTCAAAATTCAATTATGGTTTCAGTCTCCTCGCTGTGTGATGAAGGAGTGATTTATCCTCATATAAATGTACATATCACGATACTAGGAAGACCTAATAAACAACAGCAGCCCTGAAAATGTCACAGAAACCAGTGCTTTTGCTTCAGCATCTTCGGAGCGGCTGTCTCCTGCTGTTGAGATATTCTGCCCTATGAGCTGATCAGGCCCTGGCTTTTCTCCTCTCCTTCCTGAAACTCTTTCAATGTCCCAAGTGTGGCCAGAACAGCTCACTGAGATGAGTGCCAGAGAGATGCCCTGCTCGGAAACACAGCTCTCACCTAGCAAAACTCCAGACAGTTCTTGTAAACAGCCTGCACGGAACTGCTCACAAAGCTGGCACTACAAAACAGATTAATTACCTTTTACACGCAAGATCCTAGCGGAGATTTATATTCTATACACGGCCATTAGCTAAGTGCAAACATGTTCTTTTTTTCAAACATTTTTAAGCTTAAAGTTGCTATCCCGCTGGGAAGTATTTCAAACCAACACAGGATTGTTTGTAGAGGGGCAAGGCCGGGCTTCTCTCTTAGCTTGTGATCTGCAGGGCTGCTGCAAGGGCTGGGCAGCGCGCTGGGAGCCCGGGCACCGCTCACCGTTCTGGTTGCTGCTGCTGGTGGTGCTGTCCTCCCTCTCCGACTGGCTGGTGCTGCTGTTGGACGTGGTGGGAGGGGGGGACGGCGCTCGGCTGGACGCAGCGCTCTCACTTTCATCCAGGAGACGGTCCATATAATCTCTGAGCAACAGAAACGCGACGTTCAGCACTGCCTTTGCTCTTAAAGGATTGGTTTAGTTTGTACAAAATATTTACTGAAGTAGCCGCGTATGTCCTGATCACATTTTAGTGTCTCTGTGAAACACACACACTTATTTTGCAACATTAACAATTTTAGTATCTTATGTCAAACGCATCGACCACTGCTGGCTGCTTAAATCTATTCAGCCTGTGCTGATGTGGAGTCCCCAAGGGCTGTGCACAGCAGAATGTCAGCTGACTGCTGTGTTCCTTGTGGAGGGCGTTTGCAGACTGGTGTGCCAAGGGAGCCTCCGAGGAAGCCCCTGCAATTCCCTGAAGCAGCGCTCCATGCTATCCAAGGAAATCGGGCTCGTGCACATACAGCCCTGAAAGGAGCAAAGTTGAGCGAAAAACTTCACAGCTCAACATGAGACATTTCTGTATCTGAATTCTACTGCAGTCCTGCATTTTAGGTCACTTACACTAAATCCCTTATGAAAGATTTAAACAACACTGGTTGGTAAAGCCTTTCTGCGTACAGTATTATTTTGGATTAACACCAGAAACAGCATATCCTCACACACACACAATTATTCTGGGTCTGATGATGCACTCTAAATTCCCAGGGCTGTTTGTAATAGCTTTCAAGAATAGACAAGTACAATCATTAAGGCCATTTCTTCAGACATAACTTATGCAAACAACTCCAAAATATCAGAGAATATTTTAAGTCATTAGCCACAAACCTCTATTAATTTGGGTAAAACAGGGGAAAATAAAACAGACAAGGTAAGTGGCGGGGGAGGGGGATAGTCCCTGACAACTGTTAAGAAAATCCATAAGCTCTAGATGCCCTCTCTGTAACCAGCTACAGCTTCTGTATCAGAAAAGCCAGATAGATAGACTTAATGTCATCCTGCAATTTTACTTGGGTGGTCAACACGTAGTTCTAAAAAATGTAATGTTCTAAAACAGTACCAAAAAAATAAAAAAGAAATAATAAAGAAAAAGAATGATAAAAGGGGAGAGCCAGCTGTAGGACCAGAGCATTTGAACGGAGGGCAGAAGAATGGGCAATGTAAGTAGAGGAGCGAAGTAAGCACAAAAACTGGTACTCTATTGTCAGGAGCACTTGCCAAACACAACACTTATGTATATACTATGGCATATATATTAAAAAAAAAAAAGCCCACCTGAAACTCGTGACCTTCACATAAACACATTAAGTAGTTAAAAACAATCCAGGCATTTGCAGAAACATGTTTGTGAAACATTTAAACAGAAAACAAGCTAAATTAAATAGCTGTTCAATGCAAATTGTTAGCCTAATTCAACTCAAAAGTGCTTTAGAAATTATATTTTATGCAGTGGCATGCTTTCCTCGACCTTGGCTGCTGTCCTGCTGCAAACTGGGTCTATAGAATCACTAGGTTGTCGTTCAGCTTTGTGTAAGAGCAACATGAAATAAAGGTTTAGATTGAACATGTATGAGCACGTGAAAACAAAGCACATCTTACGTTACACCAGGATGGAGATTGTATTTCTTCTTTCCAAATCGGGTCTGTTGTGCAAAGAAGTCATATCGCTCCGATTTCTTCCACATATAATAAAATGCAACGCACTCACCAACCGATCTCGTTCGTACCTAGGAAACACGTGTCACACATGCAGACTGTTGGTGAATTGAAGTGCATTTCTGGCAAAAAGCTGCACTTAAAAAATCCATCACAGCATCAAAAACTGTGAAATTTAAAATCAAGGCTGCATTACATGACAAAGGGAATACTGGAAACTAGAGATGGAGTTTCAAAGGCCCCCAAATTAAACTGCAAAGTTTAACTGCACTTTCAAGAATATTGAAGATATCCTGAGGTGTTGTAAACAAATGCCTCAGGAGAAATGTTTAAGTTTGTTACAGTGATCTCCGAGTAGGGATGCAAATCTTCCCAGATGTCTGTGCACAGCAAGGTTTTCTGAACCGAGGCTGCACAGTTACACCTGCAGAGCACCCTGGACTTTGACAAATGGACTTACATCTATATTTAGCATAAATTCAAAGGAGCAAGTATAGTGATCTGTGGATGAAATCATACAAACGATTTCATTTACAATGACATTCCTTAATCAAAAAAGAGAGGAGGAAATTTAGGAAATCCAGTGCTTACCTTATTTGCCTGAATCACATGAAAATCCTTGCCGTAGACTTTCAGCCCTTGCTCAAAGTTCCTACATTCCTCTTCTGTCCAAACAGATAATTCTTCTAAAGCAAGGAAATGCAATAAAGAATATGATTAAGAGAAAAGCTTGCAGACATGATATTTAAGCTCCTTACGCCACCTGCTGACTAAATGAGACCCATCTCCAGAAGTTTTGCTTAACAGTAAAAAAAAAAAAAGGAAATTCTTCCATCTAGTGAGTAGGTGGGAGCTGGCCTAAGCATTCCGGTTTGGCATCGTGTGGGAAATCTTGGCTGCACTGAAGCCAAAACAGACTCCTAGTAGCTCTTAGCAACAGTTCTAAGAACTTGACAAACTTGGCCTCATCCATTCTTAAGGTCACAAATAAATAAGGATTAAAATAGTGGGAGAATGAACTAATCTTGTTGATTTGATCACCCCTGTCTGCAATTTGCACAGTAAACTTGGACAAGCCACATATTTAAAAGCAGTGCCAACAGATCAGTGTGCAAGGAAAATAACACGTGCCTTTTCTTAGTCTGTCCTGTTCTGTTGAGGACAAAAGAAAGGTCAACATAAACCCGAGAAATACTAGAAACTCCAAAAACTGCTTCAAAAGCAGAGGGTTTTTAGTGTTACGCTTTTTTTTTTTAATAAATGTGTAGACGCTCAATTTCCTTTAATTAGGATTGTGAATTGTTTCATTTTATACATGTTCCCTTCATTAAATTTAATGAGTGGAGAGATCTGGAAGAACAATGCACCATATACTCAAGAAATGTACAATTTAGCTGATAAGAACTCACTTTAACGTGTTATTAAGCCACAAATACAAACACCAAGCTCTGTTCGAAGAAAAGCAATTTACAGTGGTGTATTTGGCCATGTACCTGTTTATACTGCTTCTCAGAAAATGTTAGAGATGCACTAAAGGTTGCATTGAAACGGGCACGTAACGCTTCCATGCAATCCTGCTCTAATAAAGTATTTTGAGCTGCCTGATTGCAAAGCCCATCACCCACATGACAAACAAACTGAGATGGACAGTATAAATTTAACACTTAGCACATCCTCACCTCTGGCTGCTTTCACGTTAAATCTCAACCTTCGTAATGATTCTTCAGTATCGAAATTGCACTTAACCAATTCATACAATGCCTGGAAAGGTAAAAGACATACATTTAACATTATCAACACCACTCATTTTATGTTATATCACAGAAGCATCATTAATGTATCACTGAACACTGTTCAAAAAAGATTTAAAATAATCTGAATAAATAAAATGGACATTTACAATTTAAAACGGAGCAAAGATGTTTTTACTCCCTCTGTTTCCATTTCCAAATCTCTAATATTCTCATCCACTTTACATTTGTAAAATGCATGAGAGGGTTGTACAAAGGAAAAAAAAAGTAGGCATTCATAAAATTTAAAAACAATGTAATAGAGCAGAACTCATGTATACACAGTTATTTATGCATAAAATAATGCATTACTGCATAAAGCAACATTAAGCCTAAGTTAACAGTGAGATTCCCCATATTTTGTGTTTGTTGACAGAAAAAAATAACCACCATCTATTGCCGTAAGAATAAAACAGTTTCAAGCCCAATTTTAAGGCCTGGGAGTAAAAGAGAACAAAGATACAATACATCCTGTAAAACTGTACTACAAATCCTGGTTATTCTTATATACCTGCTCGTTGTCTTTAATATGCGATCCTTCAGGAATTGCATCTAGGCCTTTCTCATCACCCGTACGCCTCGAGGCCTCATTTAGGAACTCAATCACTTTATCTTCTGGCAAGAAGTCAGGATTCCACAGCAGCTGGTCATCGTTTTCATACACTGGATTAGCCACGGGCAAGAAATAAAGAAAAAAGGAAAGCTAAAATATCTCTGCCTTGCACCACTGTGACAGGGCTGGTATAATCAGAGCTCTAGATGCTGTCGCTTTCTTCGGAGACCACTCGCATCAGTCAGGTAGAAAACATTTAATAAGAATTTAATACTACCAAATCGCTATTTTTTATTCTCAGAACTTTTCAATAAGATTTCAGATCAGAAAAGCTTTAGTAAACTGAAATTAATGGGAAGAACACGGACAAATGGTCTATCCTCTGAATTACCCCCTATGTTCCCCGACTAGCCTGTGGCTCTTCAAATTTAAAAGAACAGCATGATAAAATACAGTGAAATTATTTAAGTTATTAAAAATAAAACTAGAATCAGAACTGGAGATGAGATGATAACTGATTTTAAGGCAAAGTCAAAAATTTCATCCAAAACACAGCAAAATGGCAAGGAAGTGGCAGAGTATGTAAAAACCTATTGGGCTACAAAGATAGACGAGGCCCTAGGATGACTAGTGAAAACGTGACTTTCTCCTCAACACACTTTGCCTGTGACGTAGGCTCTCAGCTCTACAAAGGACAAGACCACAAAAAACTCTTATGTAGGTTACTGCAATGCATAAAACAGCTATATCTTTTTATTGTTGGAGGCCAGAAGCCATTTACGGCAAAGCAAATACCAGTAAGAGCAGTTGACCGATCACTAAAGTACAATTTACTGAATCTCTGAACTTACTGAATGCATAGTTCAAGCTCTATATTTAGACAGTAGCAGTACAGCATATAAATTACTTATTAACAGCTAAAAAAAGCAGGTATTTTCTAATTTGCTCTTTTTGTATTTTTTTTCCCAGAATGGATAGTCTTACTGGTTGGTTTTACAGCCAAACTATTAATCACAGATATAATTACAATTGCACTGTGAGATTTTGTTTTAAAATATAATTAACAGATACCTGATTTCTATCTCCATTTTCTAAATCCTGAGCTCTACTCAGTCAAACAAACAAACAAACAAACAACAACAACAAAAAAACAAAGATACAGTTCTAGCATGGAGAAATTTTCTGAAAAAACAAACAACTTTCTCTGTGATCTTTTCTGCGTAAATACAAAAATAAAATTAACGCGTAGATGGAACATCAGGGCTACTTGAGGTAGTGCAAGTGAGCCATAAATCCCTTCAGTCCTGGGAATAATGTTAGAATGTGTCTCTAGAATCCACAAGGAAGAAAGGAATGCTGGCAGGTAGAGCAAAGGAACCTAAGGTCTAAAACTTCACATTCTGTACCCAACAAGCACTTTCAAACTATGTAATACAAAGTTTAAATGCCATTTAAGTGAACAAGTTAGCTAAATAATTTTTCTGGGAACTCCAGGTTTGTTTTTAATGGAAACTCTGGACTTCTCACATAGTTTTAAACTACCTTCTCTTCATCCTCTCAGAGTTTACTCCAGCTGGCTGAACGTGCCAGGTTCAGCATGGCCTGCTCTAAGCCAAGGCAGCATCAGCTCCTTCCAGAGAGTTTCCAGCTAGCACAAGCTACAGCATGGCCACAACCTGGAGCTTAATGCAAGACAACTGCCACTATTTCAGTGTTGACTCAAATTCCAGGAAGGAACACTTTTGTGCCAGCTAGTTTTAAGCTAGTTTATATAAAACCACAAACGCTGCTGTCTCAAACTGATTGCAGTGTAAACAAATTCTGAGTAAGGGGTTGAATCAGCAGGGAAAATTGCTTCTCTCATGCACGCACTTGGGTAGGAACCAGGCCTGCCTTTCCTGCCTTGGTAATACTGACAGCAGACAGCTACAGGCTCTGGTTGCAAGGGAAAATAAAAAGTTTCTGGGAAATACCCTGAAAACAGAATAATATGTTATTTAATATTGACTGAAGGGTTAGTAAATGTGAAAATCAAAGCTGTTGTGGCCATTTTTCTCCTTTCAATATGCTAATTCCATTCCAGCAATATAATTTCTTTATTATTTTCTTTCATCAAAGCTCAATAGAGCAGGTGAAGAGGATAACAGAGTCTACATGAAAACCCTGTGTAAATTAGCAAATTAGAATGCAACAGGTCCATAGGGGCTCAGCAGTCCAGGAACATAATCCTGCTTTCCCTTCCCAAGTCTGGAGCTGTGACAGCAAAGTACAGCCTAACAAGAGTTAGAGATCATGGTTCTATCTTTCACTTGAAGAGGCTGTTTTATTTTGTCATAACATGATATCAGTCAAATAAATCTTTTTTTTTTTCTCCATTGGCAAGTGAAATCAACCATTTTGATAATGACAGTAGTGTTAAGTCTCACCTTTTTCATTCTCTTTGTATTTGCACACGCCAGCTGGAATTTCAGCTTGAAACATAGAGCCCACCATGATTTCCTGTTTTGAAATAACAGAAGCAAAAGGTAAAGCATTCACAACTGTGCCTTTATTTTTATTTTTTTTGTTACAGAATGAGACTCTGACCATATTTTTAAAAATTCTTTAAAATTTTCATTGTTTGAAAGCTAAAGAAAGAGTAAACAGAAACTACATGGGAATGTTTTCTATTGGGGAGGTTTTTGAACACTCACCCCTGTCAAAGCTCTTATTTTTGTGGGAGAAAAGAGGAGAGGAATTGGGTAATCCACAGAGCTGAAAGTTGCTATGTGACAGATTAACTCACCATTCATGGGATATTTTTAGCAGCCCTTAATATTTACCTTTTTCCAGTCTTCTGATGGAATATAATCTTCATCTTCCTCGGATTCCTCTTCTATTTCACTGTCTGCAAGAAAACGAGGAAACGTTTACCCGGAATGAGCTATGGGGGAGCCCGCACAGGGTAGGAACAGGGTAGGAAAAAGGAAGGCACAAATGAATACTTGAACAACTTTAATACCTCCTAATAAGACTGCCTTTCCTTCACCCAGCTTTGAAGTAGCTGACATGGTCCACACTCGAATCTATTGTTTTCTCAAAGCATTTTTATGTGTGCGTTCAGACAGAAATCAAACTCATTTGCAATTTCACTATTATTTTCAGTGAGCTCCTATTCAGTTACTGTTGCTCTCTCTTCCTTCAGCAAAAGGCACACCAGAGTACAACATGAAAGAAATCCCCACATACGGGTTTCTCAGTCTTATGGGGATTTAGGAGGCTTGGATGCACTGTTGGGATGCACAGCAGTATTCAATGCAGATTATTTAGGATAAAGCTTTAGTATTTTTACAATATGGAGTAGCTTCACAAGGTACTGAAAGCAATAAGTTTATGTATAGCATGTCAAAACCTAAAAAGATCTGCACATTAAATTACATTCTGTACACAGCTGAACACTGCAAAACCCACCAAAGCAATGTAATACACTTGCATTACACTGAAGTCTAAAAATGGAGTTAATTTGTTTGCAAATTTCTTGGTTCAAATCCCTGCACAGCTAAGGTTCCTTGGAATTTCTGCGTTAATATAAACAACACATTGGAAAAATGTATCTCTACAATGTTAGGGCTAATAAGTATCCAGTAGAAGATAATGTAATTAACTTTTGCCTTGAATTTCACTTGCTAAAACAGAGGACTGTAGGAATTCAAACATTAGCAACCATCAGCTCTACCCAAGGAAGGTATCTGCTGTGCAAATGGCTCAGGTGATAGCACGATACTGAGAGGTTCATATCCTGTAGAGTAGGACTGCCGCAGAAATCTAAGGGGACAGCTACACAACTAGATCAATGGTTTCAGATGCCTGAAAAACCACATCCTAAACAAAACAACAGGGAAAAAATCCGTTCACAATGCTGGCTGTAGCAGCAAACGTGGATTTTTTCAAGTAGATTTTCTTCTTGGCTATTTCCACCTTCATTAGTTCAGGCTTAACAGTCTTTTTGCCTTCTTCAGATTTCACTGCCTTTTTTTTTTTTTTACTTTATTTCCAGGAAATGTTGTTTATTTTCTCATTCACCAGGATTGTCAACCTCTTCCAGTGAGGATGCATGTGCTGTGCTGCTACTGCAGTGACCAGCTGGAGCAGAGCATTCCCTGCCAGCAGGGATTTTCACCTGCTCCTGCTGGGAATCCAAGGCAGCACCACGCTCAGCAGCCAGGCTCCCAAGACCCTAAGGAAGTGCTGCATTTTCAGCGTGTAGCTATGTAAGACTTACAGATTCCACCGCAGAGTATTTATTAAAATCATCATGCAAATTCATAAACCAAACAGTTGTGACACTAGGAGTAATGTAATGAGAGGACTTGTCTGAGACTGTGCTTTTTCAAACCCGTAGAAATTTAAAATATCAATCACACTTAATCCTTTGTTGTAATAAGGTAGGTAATACCTAGTGCCCTTGCACAGGGTCCCTCATCTGGTGAGCAGATTAGCATTCCGCTAAAAATAGGAATTTTTGTTGCCCTTTATTTGCAGGGTAATGCTAATGAAGAGTAGTGGTAGGAAAGAGCAAACAAATGCCTGCCAGCATCTAGATGTGTGTTTGAGAAACAGAATATGATGGTAATTAGAGCTGTTAATAAGCAGAAGTAAATTACACTGAGGTGGCTGTATTTAGTATGAAACTGTACATACTTGTATCAAAATATTTACATCGACGAGGGCGAATTATCTCCCGTGGATCTTGAGAAGCAACAGATGGTGCTGGGTCGTCATTAGATGACTGTGTCTCATCTTCCTGACCAGATGAATCCTTTATGGCCTCCTCCTTAAATACACAAAAGCAAATCAGTTTTACCTTCTGTAAAACAAATACCATTTTGGCAATATTTTCCTCCCAAATGCCAACCTATCAAAACCAGATAGCCTGTGCCTAACTTCAAGTGACTGTGGAGGTTGTTGCTGTCCAGACTAAACCATAGCAAATGTTGAAATGCCTTTTTTTTTTTTTTGACCTGGATTTTAACATATCAGATTTGACAGACTGTAAAATATGTCAAAAACATAAACCAGAACTAAATACCACATTTTTGCTTTTACATCAAACATATCCTTAAAGTTTTCATTCAAAAACTGGAATGGAATGCTGTATTTATTTGAAGCCAAGTACTTTTCTTCATCAGAGAAAGGAGGTTCTCTTCCTCAACCTTCTAAAATTTGCTCTTATAAAAACAAAGATACTGGGGGAGAAGGCAAGCTATGCTGGGTAAAGTAATTGCTTTTTTTTTTTTTTTTGGCAACTACTGTCCTGAAATTTTACCTTCCTTTAAACCTTCCCTTATAAATTTTCAATGAAGATGATAGGAATTCAGTGGGCTACATTTCTTGAGTCATTTTTCATAAAAAATACAAGTCAATAGTGTGGTTCAATCCCACAGAATTAGCATATCAACATGCTCGATTGTGTATTTCATTGAATCATTAAAAGATGAAAAGTTTGTCAGAGACGTTTTTGTGTTAGAAAAAAAACAAAAATAGGTATTATCAGAATTGAGGAAAATTAAAGTGATAATCATTAAAAATCACATTAATGTTTTCTATTATGCACGCTGCCAGTGCATTTATGCATTTTATGAGTATGTTGTGAGCATTCATACTTGCATGTGTAATACGGAGGCACCAGTACAAATGTTTATATGTACCTTTAACAGCACGCCAGGGTATTATCACATGCGCAGCTTAAAGCAGATTAAAAATAGAAGACAGCCGAGTGCAGTATCACTAGCTAAGCATGTACAGAGGGTGGCACTTGCAGAGAAGGCATGAATGATTTATAACATGACTCCAGGGATCCCTGCGAAGCTCACGCAAGGGTTTGTGGAGCTCTCCTCCTGGCGTGCCGCGTGGCCTCCCCAGTCCCTCTCGTGCCGCTCCTGCGGAACAGGCTGGGACGAGGGAGATGTTTTGTTGCTGATGGGAGCAGAGCACACGCTCTGCGTCCCCTGCGCAGGGGCAAAGCTGATGCTGCAAACGTCTCTGCGGTGAGACAGGCTGAGATTTTATCCATCTAGGAGAAAAAATCAGCAGCATCTTAAGAGGAAAAAAAAAAAAAGCTAGTAACAGATCTGCAGAAGTGCTGAGATGGGCCAGAACACATAGAAGATGGAAGCTGTGACAGGCAGTAATTAAGAAGCAGGGACGCAAGAAGGAAATGAGACTTCAGGAGTACCACTAAATTTGCACTACTAAATTAATCTGTGTCTAATTTTGCATTCTTCATGTTCCGTTAGTTCCCCCCACAGCCTCTTGAAACTTTCCTAATGTGAAGCAGCTACGTAACTTTCTTCTTTTTGAACTATTCAACCTGAACAGATAGCAACCGTTTACAACATTTATCAAAGGGGCTCATAAATCATAACAACTTAATTTTCCAAATCAGTTATCTCATTGTGTCTCCTTCCTGGATTCAAAAATGGGTAAGAAATGAAAGGACAAAATGGATACTTTTAAAATCCAGGCTAGGTAATAGCACTTTTATTAATGCTTAGGCTTTTTTGTGGCTGCCAGTACAAAGGGAGTACAAAGGTTTCAATATTACACTGCAATTCAGGAAGCAACCCTGAGTGCCACCAATAATGGAGAAGTTACAGCTGTGCCCCTCACAGGGCACCATTATTATGAATATGTATAAAAAAGCCAAGCAGAAGAGATTCTTCTAAAATTGGATTTATTTAAGAGCGCACAGGACAGAAGCTGCCAAGTTCATGGCCATACATTTTGCAAAAATATTTGCATTATTAGATTTCATTAACTACTTTTTTTTTCTCTCATTAACTATGTAACTTTTACAATCAGAACAATTACCACTACTTCTAAAAATACAATCTACAGTAAGAAAACTAGCAGCAGCCTCCAGCACTCTAGAGACTTCTTTGAATTCGATTCCTCACTTCAGTTTCAGTAGATGAGCTTTTTCACCTCAAAACAAGTATTCAGGTATATTTATAAATGTACTCTTAGGCACTTAAGTTTCAAAGCCAAACAGTATTTCCAAAACACTATTATGATCCCCTTTTTCACAATACTGTAGGCATACATGCACTGTAATTTGTTTCAGTGACAGTGTAGAATGATGCAGATGAAATTAAAAGAAATACTGATGGATAATTAAGAGTAAACATTAGAATACAGTACACAAAGTATCTAAAATCAGCTATCCTGTGAATTATTCCTGAAAAAACTGCTGTGATGCGGCACCTTAAACAGCTGCCTAGTACAGAATGGCTGAATGAAAGTAAGCTCCAAATCAGTGCAAACACTCACTTTGTTTTCTCCACTACAGCCACTGTTGTCATCGTTATCAACATCATCATCATCTTCTCCCTCCTCCTCTTCCTCTTCGTCATCTTCGTCGTCGTCATCATCTTCTTGCAGTGGAATGGTTCCATCGTAGCCATAAAGGCTAAGTAGCTCCTGGATTGGCATATCACTTTCCTGAGAAACAGCCAAACAAATGTTGAGATTTTAAGACAATATTTCATACCTGCTCCACAGATTGGAAGTGCGCATTTTAAACATGAACCAGCAAAAAAAATACACCATCAGGTCTACTAAAAACGTCCTCTCTAAAAAGAATGCCTAATTGGAATTAAAAGCTTGGAGGGGAGAGTATCTAAGTTAGTTACACGCTTTGGAGACTGGAGGCCACCAAGAGAAACCATCCAGCTGGCACCCAAGACGATCTTGGGAAAAAGAGTGGTAGAAATGAGGTTAATTAACTCCCGTGGCAGCCAAATAGGACACATGGACCAGGCACCATCCACCTGCAGCACAGACGTGGGGTGAACGCTCTCCTGGCTGGAATGGTAGCTGAGAGGGTTTGTTTTTTTTTCCTTCCCTTAAAACTACCTGAAAAAAATACAGTATTTTGCACATATTTATGGAAGAAGCAGCACACACGGTGTGAGACTGCAGCAACAGCTTCATCCAGACAGACAGGATGCTGATAGGTGTTGTAGGCACCATGAAGCATGGCAGCACCTTGCCCTAGTGCGAGGCAGTGCTTTGTGCAGTGTTTCCAGAAAGTCAGCAGAACAAGGACCAGAACTTGCACTATCTGCCTTGAACATGGAGCTAAATTTTTTTAGGGGAGTCACGAGGGAGTTGACATGTAGGGTTGGTTGGGTGCAGTCCTACAACCCTGGCCCCCAATAAAAAATGACACAAATCAAATGCACTTCTCTATCCCTCTGCTTCAAACAAACAAACAAAAATATTAGGTATATATGAAAAATATTCAGGTAAAGATGGCAGTGTTTACAGATATATACTCATTTCCTCATTTAAAAAGAAAAAAAAAGAAGCTTTTAAGCTAGCTGCATACAAAAACAAACAGAGTTGGAAGCAAACCCACAAAAATACATGCACACGTGAATATATTTAGAAGGTTGATCCACTCTGGACAAACTATCTTAAATGATATAGGAAGTTCTCAGGTTTACTGGCTCCAGAACAGTTATCAATTGCATGCACATTATTAATACAAACTATTAATTGCCAGGTCTGCAAATCACTTAATCACATCTAATAGCTCAGTATTCAGCCTGCCAGGGCAGCATGTGGCTTCCCTAAAGAGATTTTTGGAGCAGAAACTTTTGGAGAGGTTTTAGAACTACCCCTCCCCTCGGATCTCCTCCTGTGTCTGCCATCCCGAGGTGTATGCCTGTTTGCAACCCTACTTAGTAGCAGTTTAAGTCCTGGCTGATAATCAGATTTCGTAGTTGCCTGCTGACCCTACACTACCTCCAATTAACTCTTTTACAAACTGTCCAGCACTGGATATTTCTCCAAGAAAATGCAATTTTCCTGAAACACACTCATAATATCAATTACAAAAGACCAGTGTTGTTAGTTGTGGTTCATGAAAATGAACACACCACGGGGTTATCAGGGTTCAGTTGCTGTTTATGCTATTTTATTTCAAAGAACTGAGCTGGTCCAGTCTTTGGAGCTCCATTCACAGTAGATGCAGACCACATGCACCTCAATCTTCTCACCTTCCTTCTTGACTTCTTGGTCCTACCATACCGCTTTACGGAACAAACGCTTAGAGGCAGGGAATTTATTTTTTACACTGACAACAGACAGGATTGTGATCTTAATTCAAACCTTATAGTGCAGCTGTCAGAAAAAAAACATAATCACAATTCCCAAACAAATGTTCTCCAGTATATTTTGAAAAGTAATTCAGCATTCCCCACTGCTATTCCATTTGAACATACAGACTGAGAATTAGAAAAATACTACTACAACTTGTAAGTATGTGAGAATAATGTAACAGGCATATTGCCATCTGTTCCACAGAAAAATTGTATTGTATTTAGAACATTTTATGAGGTTTTCTGAGGTAGAGTCTCTTAACTTGACATACCCCATTATAATTCAAAAAGCTCCAAGTGCCAGCAACTCTCCAAGACAAAAATGCTTTAAGTATCAAATGGTGATTTCTGCATTGTTTTAAGAAAAATCCTAAAACTAGAAAAGGTTCCTCCATCTGCAGAAAAGGTAAGTGTAGAGGGGCAATAAAACAGTGAACTACATCATAAGCAGAGAAGGAACAAAATGGGGACAACCATTAAAATGAACAAAAATAAGATTAAAAAAAATCCTCAAACTAAATGAACTTAAATTTTGCAACATTGCCATATGCTTTGCAGACATTAAGGTTGCAAGGTTAAAAATCAACTGGACAGATTTGTTGTGGTGGAGGGAGAAGCATCACAGACGAAGAGACATCATCTGTCCCAGGTGCATCTCAACTGCAGCCTGCTGGAGGTTGCAAGAGTATCTGGGGAAACACTGCCCTGCTCTACACCCTTCCTCAAATAACTGCTGCTGGCTTTTGCTCCCAATAGTTCAAGGGGATAGGATGTTGGTGCATGTCCCTAGTGCAACCCAAGAGTCCTCTGTGAAAAGAAGGACCCAAAAGGAGAAACCAAGAGATTATGGGAAACGACAAATGGAAAAGGTGGTTAAAGGCTTGCAAATATTTAAATACAAGCATTTAAGGCTTACAAAAATTCCGAGTTTAGTATTTATGGAGGGAGGCACTGTGTACAGCACCCTGCCACTGCTCACTGCTTCCTATCCAAAACGACAGGGCAAACCAGTCAGCAGCACTGACCGGACAGGACAGCACAAAGGTGAAGAGCCAGGGCCCACAGTCAACAAATTCCCCCTATCACTCCCTCCAGCTGATGCCTTTTTTTTAAGCCAGCTTGGCTAAGAGTAGGAGAAAACTATAACTTTCTGCAAATTGGTAGGGCCTAGCCACTAATTTCCAAGGAGAGTGAATACAGTTTCCCTCTGTTGGGAATTATGCAGCCAGTTTCCTGCATGTGGGAAAAACTGCAGCATCAGAGTATGCCCAGGACACAGGAGATGTGCCTTGCTGTGGGGAGGAAAAACAAACAAACAAACAAAAAAATCATCACCCTCCTGATCACTTTATCTCCTGGACTGTTGTAGAAGGAATACTGGATTAGCCAGGATTAGGTCAGATCCAATATGGATATTCATACATGAGAATATTCTATTACTGAATACACCTGGATACGAGCAGGCACAGGCTGCTCCATCACATTCCAGATAGCTCATCTGTCCCCAAAATATTCTTACCTTTCAAGGAACCAACTCCAGTAATTCTGATTCCTTTCAACTACGCTCTCAGAGAACTATATTTTTTCCACCTACAACAGCGGCACAGAGGGTGACTTCAGGTCTCAGGAGAGAGACAAACTGCTGTCATTTACAAAAAAAAATAAAATGTATACACATACACCCACTTGCAAACGCAGGGCACTGCTCAGCCCCAAATTCTAACGTACTGCAGATTCACCAGGTTTGCAGCCAATGAGTGCAGAAGCTCCCTACCCTCAGAGGCAGGCGTTATGGCTACACCACTCTGAAGTTGTGATATAACTCAGGTTCAAGCACTCCTTTGCTCGCCTGACCGTCCCTTGGGCTCTGAAGGAGCCCAACTAGCAAATCCAGCACATTCCCAGCCTAGGAAGAAATTCGAAGGAATATCTTTAAATGACTAGGGAAGGCAAAGGCAGGATAGCACTTGTCTTGACAACAGTTTTGAGGCTTAGGGTGTCTACCATCCACGTCTAAGTATGGGTATGATTGAAAAAAATTTTTAAAAAACAGAGAAAAAATAAGCTTTGATGCATGGCCTGCTATCCCAGACATAGAAATAACTCCAGGGCTCTAGCAAGGCCCTGTTGGTGTGAAGCACCTGAGGCTCAGGAAAAGCTCTCCCTGCAATATCCCTATAACTTGACAGTAAGATTCAATGTCAATTTGCAAAAAAAACCTCTGGAGATGGATAGCACATGGAGCAATTTGAATTGAAGTTAACATTGCTCACTCTCCTTACTACAAAAATACCTGAAATGTGGAAAAATTATAGAATTGCAGCCCCTACAGCTAGGATATGAGGGAATAAACTGATGTTGAAATACGATTATAAACAAAGCATTGTAATGTGGTGATAAAATTACGTAATCGGATGTTGACTCTTTACAAAATATGAGGAAAAAAACATGTACTTTCAACTTAAGGACTATATGAGATAGATGTGGAATCCCATTTCCCATTTAAGCGAGATGAAGCATTTTTAGATTAACAATTTATTTATCTTTACATTTACATTTTAATATCAAGCCTGAAACTAACCGCAAGAAATAATTTACATCTGAAGTGTAGATTAAATGCACTAAATTAATTTAATGTCATATGGGTATAATCGCTTACACCAAATAGGATTATTAATGATCTGTTCTGGAAGCTTTTTCAGCCAAAGAGGTCACAGACAGTATCTAAACCATAGATACTTTGGCCATACTTTGTAGCTTAGGAATATTATTCCTGACAGAGGAGTAATTTAAAGCAGACATAAGTGACAGCAGAAGCTCAAACCCCAAATAAATCTTATGTGGTTATTTCAGAATATACACATTTTAAGATCTATTTAACACTATTACCAATATTTGGGAGTTCTGATCCCAGCGCTCCTGACAACTCAACTACATGGCTTTGAGCAAACCAATTAATCTGTGTTTCCGTTTCCTCTGTCTTAAAAATGAAGATACTACCTGCTTCACTGAATTATTATATGAATGTCTGTATAAAAGAATGTAAGTGTAAAATAATGGGATTGCTACTGAAGTGAAATCTATATGCTCTAATTGAGCGCAGGTGTTTGTTACGAACAGTAACACTGGAACATGCAAGTTTAGTCAGAGCAAACATTAATTTATATTAGCTCTAAAATGCAAGTCCTGTACCAGTAAATATAGAGAAACTACACAAGCACGGAATTACACATTATTAAATATTTAGACACCAGTTTTCTTGTCCCACCCTTTAAGAATTGCAAATTTAGCTTGGCCCCTTCCCCCCTCTATATTATTTACCTACCACTGTTTTGGGGGCATTTTTTTGGTTTTGTCCCAGATTGAGGAGAAAAAGCCTGCACATGTTTTTGTGCAAGACTGTGGGTTGTGGTTATGTTTTATGACTACTTAATGCTACCTACCCTGTTAAGATCCTCTATTTCAGAACTGAAGTTTGTTTCTCCTTCCATCATTTCCTCCTCTTCTAATGTCCGTTCATCATCAAAGTCATGCACCAGCATATCAGCTGATGGATCAAATTCATGGTCATCAGATGTTGCTGAACCTCCTGATAGAAAACATTTTAAAGATTTTTTTTTAGTTAGATCATGGCCTCAAATAGTTTAGTTTTTTATTTTGGTGACATTTTTATACTCAAATTATCCTGAGAGATTGAAGTATCTTAAAAATCCCTAATTCACTTATCTTGGGGAAAGCTAATCATATTATTCAGAGGAGAGGAAAGCTGGTTTTTAGCTGATAAGAGATCACGGAAAAAAGAACTAGGAGTTATCCAGTCAATTCGCAAGGTACTATAAATGTGGACATCAGGCCCCTAGTTAAATACTTGCACAACGCTCTGTTGTTCAAGACTTAACTCCTACATAATCAGAAGTCCGTCCTACTGAGAGCAGAAATACTCATAAAAATATAAGCTTGGGCAGTTGTTTCTTTGCTCCTTTCCAAGCATTCTTGTTTACAACTACAAAGAGGCTGCCTTATAACTTTTCAAAATCTAAACTTCAAGTAAGCTTCAGAGTTATGCGCATTTTATATATGATGTGGACTCCTTAGTTATTTTCCCCATGCATTTTTCACAGCTCTTTGTAGAAAAGTCTGGTTTATTTTGTGACAACAAAAAAAATAAATGAATGGATGAGCGGTTTGGCAGATGCAGCACTTGGATATAATTTAGCAGTACCTGATTTCTAATTCTAGCTCTGATAATATTTGTCCACGTGTCTCCTTGGACAATTTAGTTTTTATTTTCCAAAGCTTGAAGACTATATTCATGCTAAGGGTGCAGGAGGGAGGAAGGGTTAACTATATTTTATTATCTAAACACTTAAAACTACAAAAAATGTTTATCTAAGGAAAAAAAAAAAAGAATCCAAGAGACAATGGCAGTCCAGCTATGGCAACTATTGGGAAGTTGTCCAACCAGTATGATGACAAAACTTGTGAAATAAATAACACCATATAGAGTAGCAGTAAAGATGTTTTTTTTCTTTCTTTTTTTTTAAAAAAATCATGATTTACACTTATGCTAATTATTAGATATCCAGTAACACCGAGATACTGGTACATCAGAAAATAAGCAGCTTTTAAAACAAGTCATGAAACCCCTCATTTTTAGTAATCCAGTGAGGAATAAAGCACCGTTTTTCTTGCTGCTTTTGTTTTTGCCGTTGTTGTGTATAAAAGCAGTTGTATAACTATGTAAGTGAGAGCAGTACCTGACCCCACAAAAACTGCTGCTGGCACAGGCTAGAGGAGCTTAAACCAATACTGCCACTAATTTACTCAGCAAATTACTATCTGGGGTGACTGTCTGGAAGAGATCAGCAAGAAGAATTTTTCAAGGGTGCCCTTTTCCCTCATAAGTTTAGGAAATAGTAAAAATATTTACCTGGGCTTGAAGACTCAACAGAAGGCTAAAAAAAGAAAACACAGGAAATTATTTCTTTTTTCTATATTGGATCCATACAAACTGAATTCAATAATTCATCTGACACAAAACGATTACAAACAAGCAAGCAACTGCAAATAATATATTTACTAACACAGCGCCGCTGCAACGCCAAAACAACATAAGATAAATAGTATCAATTTCTTCCATTTCTCCTTTACATGTCTATCCTCTTGCTCTATTTCAGGAAGAATAATTGCAAGAACTGCCCACTCTGAGATGTGGTAATTGAGTTCATGAAAGTATAAAATAAAGCAAATCTTTCATTCCTATAATAACATTACAGTCCCCCCATGAGCTGCATGTGGCATTAACTGCTGCTGTTGCCTCCTCTCCGCTCATTTCCACTCCTGCCTTTTGCCAACACACAACTGCAAACTAAGAGCACTCGTAGGGCAGCTCTTAACAGATCCAGCTCTGATCTAATTCCGTGTACTGAATTCCCTTTTCCAAAGCCCAGATGCACACCCGACTGCATGACACAGCAAGCACAGTTTAAACTACCCTCCCTATTGGAACCCGTGTGCTCTTCAATACCTACATGCCCTCTCTGTATGTCAATTAAGATGCAAAATGTAAGAGCTGATCACGGGTCACAAGGCAATTCCTCGAGCAACAGAGGGAAAAGGCAATTTCATCTCAATCGCCAACCCAGACATGAGAAAAGGCAGAAATTATTCTGCAAGCCAGACTTTCTCCCCACGTATTATTATAACACAAATAAGCACCGAAAAACACATACAGATTAGGAAACAAATGTACTTTTTGTGGTACAGAAAAAAAAATCCACCCTTCTGCAACACCCGTTATGTAACAGAGATGCTCTGCCTACCGTGCTTGGTGACCTTATAGTTATCATTGGATTGAACAACCTCCTTTATTAAATTCTGCTTCTCCTGGCTTATAATTCTGTCCATCTTTAACCTCCTGGACTGATATTCGTGTGCAGAGCGTGCAAACGTCATTTGTTCGGAAAATCCACGCAAATGGTTCAACTACTTTAAGGAGAATATGTAAAGGAGTGTTTTCCAGAGTTAGAAAGACTGACCTTCCACTTCAGAGAACTGTGGTGCCCCTCTCTGGGCGACGTTTTGGGAACCGAGATGCTGGTTTCCATCAAGGATATATCACATTGCATAATATCCTGAGCTGTCCTCATGAGCGCCCGCTGCATTTGGCCAAGAAATGACTTGGAAAACTTCAACTCACACATTCACCATGTTATTCAGTTTTACGCATAGACATAATAGGAATCTAGACTGTACTCTTACCGAAATTCAGTATCAGCAAATTATATTTGCAATTTAAAATGGGATATTATATTAAAAAAAGAAATGAATTTAAACTCAAATAAGAACTTGCACTATTATCCTAAGATTTTCTAAAGCACTTTCCTTCTCCTTGATTTCATCTCTTAAGGCTAAGCAGTCACTTGGACAAGCCACTTCCACCCAAGATACCTATGGAGAGACCTAAAATCAACTAAAAAAAGAACAAGAGAAACAACCACCACCACCCTTATAGAAGCAACTAAAACCCCGTGTAATTGCAATTTCTTTACAGCAGCATTTTTTTCTGAGAAAAAAGAAATACTTCTACTTAGGAATCACTTTAAAAAAAATCATTTACATACCAATGCTTTAAGAGAGTCTAAAGTGAATAAATGAAAATTCAGAATATATGCGCAGGTCAAACAGAAACCAGTACATAAGGGGAATAAAAACTCATTTGCAGTGTTTCCCTGAAGGGTGGATAGAGATATGATAGGCAAGAAGTTTTGTTCTCCTAAAGTCACACATCCTAAAAAAACCCCACAAAATATTATATAAACTGTTCTCAGGTAGAGGCGCTGCAGTCTGTTTTTCTCATACCTACTGATATCCAGTTATTTTTAGTTTATGTGCAATACCACTGCCGACTTGCAATAAACATCTTTTTAAGTAACTCGCCCCGAAAGGCACCGTTTGGGAGACCGAAACGCGGCGGCTGGGTAAGATCCAAAAACATTTTTGCAAAATTAAATTCCCCAGTGTCATAGGAAGCTTCGCTAATGACTACAGCGTAAAACTCATTCTTTACAAAGACTAACTTAAATTCCAGCGTACAACATTACTAGCGTATATTCAGCTCAATTGGAATATCAAAATCAAGCCTGCAGCATCCCATGGTAGTTTGGGTTGTCTGACAAAATTGCTAATCTGGATAATACATAATACACAATTATTAGTGTAAAATAACAGAGTTTTAGCATATTCATTGCAAAAAGTACAGGTGGGAAAGCTAATAAATTCAGATTGTTTGTTTCTGCCTGGCAATGCTGGGTATAAAATAGACAATATTACATGCTCAGCACAATAAAAAATAAAGAGGGAGAGAAACATCACTAAGAAGCAATCTTACAAAGTTTCAAATTAAATGGCAGGTCTCCCTTAGTAACTCACACACAGGGACTGCAAATGAAATGACTATTTCAAATGGAGAAATACAGGCACAAAAAGCAAGGGACTTCAACACCAAGTTGCCTGAAGATGGAAAGTGGAAAGCAGATAAAGAGAAGAAGGTGAAAAACATCCCTCTGATTTACAGTGAAAGATTATTCCAGAAATTATTCTGCCCTCGTAGAACAAAGCTGGATTTAGTGACTCATAAAGCCCTTAAAATATTCCAAGAGATAAACCGTGTTATTTAATAAAAAACAAACTCTGCAAATGCCATCTTAAAACTGCTTTTCCTGCCATGAAGAGCACGAGTATCGCGAGGCTCTCAGGTAAGCTGACCCGCTGAGGACAAACTATCCCCACTCCAGCGCCAGCACCACCGCGAAGGCCAAATAACCACTTCTGGATACGGAAAAAGCCCATCAAAGAGCCTCTTGGCTGGGAGATGGTTTCTGCTCCTGTGTTATTTCCAGATGCGCGGAGCTTGCGCGGCGAACGCGGCAGGGAAGGGCAGTCCTGGGCCGCCCGGCG